ATAAATGACAACCCATGGTTTGCTCCAGGATAAATTTCACTTCCCTACCTATTAGGGCCAGAAGGATCTGGCAGAGGCAAATTGGGAGTCTAAAGATTGCCCCAAACAATAATACTCTGCTTTTGCTTCTATACTATAGTGCTCCCAGATATAACAACTGTTCGTTCTCCTTTGCATCTACCCTATCCTCAAAGTTATTTTGTAGTGTCACAATTACAACAGGAAGATTCAAATGATGTGCCTTTCTTTCCCTACCTCTAGGTACTTGTAACCATATTTAAAGATGTTATCTTTCTGTATATGAATTATCTGCATTATAATGCAACAAATTAAGTTGCAGATGAAGCACATTTTCAGGTCTATATGACATCCCCTGGAAGACATTCCACCACTGGCTGACATCTGGAGAAAGCAGAAGGATGGAAGTCTCTGAGGGAGGGGAATCCTCATTGCATTTGTATTGCTCCCATAACCACAGAAAATATATATGTATGTTCATGTGTGTATTGAGAGGGAAAGAGTATGAATATGCAGTGTTTTTGAACTAATTAAATCACAACAGATTTGCTTAAGGGCATGAAAGAAAGAAAAAAAACCAATTGCAGTGTTTATTAATATATAAAGGATTGGTACAAATGCAGTAATGTTAGTTACACAGAGTTGGCCCCATATCACCAGTCATTCTGTGACAGGTCGCAGGTTCGAATCTGGGGAGAGCGCAGATGAGCTCCCTCTATCAGCTCCATCTCCTCATACAGGGACATGAGAGAAGCCTCCCACAAGGATGATAAAACATCAAAACATCCAGGCATCCCCTGGGCACCATCCTTGCAGACAGCCAATTCTCTCACACCAGAAGTAGCTTGCAGTTTCTCAAGTTGCTCCTGACATGACAAAAACACATACACACCCACACAAAACAGTCATTCTCATCCACGCCAGGAATTGCCATCTTTTGGAATTTTGAGAACTGAAAATGACATGAAAAAGAGCAATTAGTGATGTTTTATTTTTAATTGTATTGTTTGTTGTTTGAAAATATTTTAAAAGTGTCTATTATCAGTAGGATTTAATTCAGTTGGAATTTTTGGTACATTTTAAATTGTAATCTTTTACATGTTTCCCAGTTTTGGGAAAGACCTGGGATGTATATAAAGCTTGTCATCCTCCTTGTCAATCATTCTGTGTGAAGATGATAGAATTGAGTTCCTCTATGTTTTGGGACTTTGATGGGCAGATCACTTTTGCTCAATTGGATCAACTAGATCCTGCCCATCTCCTTAAATTTTAGTGCTGAAATCCATGTTTATTTATTTATCGTGTCAGGAGCAAGCCAAACAGTTGTATTGCATTTTAACTACTAACTAACAAACAAAGCACAAAGTTTGCAAGCTTGGTAGTTGATTAAATGTCCTTTGACCAGTAGCTGGCCACTTGGAGTGCCTCTGGTGTTACTATAAGAAGGTCCTCCATTGTGCATGTAGCAGGGCTCAGGTTGCATCGCAGCAGATGGTCTGTAGTTTGCTCTTCTCCACACTTGCATGTCATGGATTCCATGTATCGCAAATGGACATAACCAAGAAATGATGTATTGAGAATAAACAATCCCAGAAAAGATGGTTTCTTAAGTCTGATGCCTTAAACCTAGATGTTATTGAAGGATATAAGGAGAAAGGATCTCAGAAAAGGTGGTTTATTAAGCCTGATGCCTTAAACCCAGGTGTTATTAAAGGCTATAAGGAGAAAGGATCCCAGAAAGGAAGATTTCTTAAGTCTGATGCCTTAAACCCAGATCTTATTGAATCTTCTTAGGAGAAAAAATGCCAGAAAAAGTGGTTTCTTAAGTCTGATGTCCTAAAAATGACAGAAAGGGGATCCTGGGAAGTTGCCCCATTGCCATCATTGCCACTGAATTTTTTGCCCACCCGAATTTGGGAAGCTCCTGAAAAAGAAATGGGGGGGGGGGGGCACTGAAATCCAGACACTTAAAATGGCACAGAGTTTAGTCAAATTGCATACCCTTAATAATAATAGGGTCTGGGAGATAAGGGGGGAGGCGAGGAAAGTGCTGAGCCCCTCAATGTGCTTCAAAGAGCCCAAAGGGCTCCATGGAGCACAGGTTGAGAATCACTTCTTTAAACAATGCATTACAAAAATCCCCAAACTATTAAAATCCGTTGAAAAAGTAGGTATGTGCACAGATATTAAATGTAGTAGGGGAATGCTGGGAAAATACATGCCCCATTTGTTTCTTCTGGATAATTACTGTAACTCCATCCTAGATTATGACTATTTAGTATTTCATTTTTTTTAAAAAGCGTTACAATCTATCACTTCTTTCATTGGTCCCTGTAAAAAACTTACTAGTTGAAGAATGAACACAATTGTGTGCATAAAGTATGGAGATAAAAGCAAGATGATTAGGGGAGGGATTTAAAAGAATTTCTGAATTCCTGACTGTGCATTTAAAGCAGACTGGATCTGGTTTTTTGGTTGAGAAAATAAAGGTCTACAAGTCAATTAGCATATGATAATGCATATGGTAATTGATAAGTATCAAACCACAGGTTATGGAGTACCATGGCAAACATGTTACCTGTGGCAAATAATGAGAAGAAGATACACACATGTAAATTTGTCTTCTGAGAACCAACATGGTATAGTTAGTGGATTGACCATTGGACTATGACTCTGGAGACCAGGGTTTGATTTCCCATTCAGCCACTGAATTCCTCTAGATGACCTTGGGCAGGCCCATAGCCAGGATTTTGTTTTTTTTTGGGGGGGGGGGGGCTGAGTCTGAGTGAAAGAGGGTCTACCCTAGCAAACCTTTTGTATCGTTACCCCAATACCCCCATGCATATGGGATATATTGAGCATGGTGATCAGATCATGATATGAATAAACATAACAGTTTAAATAATGCACCAGTAAGGCCTTCTCGCGGACCACCATGAGAATTTCGGGGGGGGGGGCTGAAGCCCCCCCCCCCCCCCCGGCTACATGCCTGACCTTGAGTCACAACCTCTGAGTCCCAGAAAACAAGATAGGTTGCCCTCCCAGTGATCAAAGACTTAACTGAGCACAACTCAAGATAGACATTGATGTTATTGAAGTCCCAATTGAAAATGCATAGGGCAGAGGTGACAGCCATTAATGTGTGAGTCATCAAACCTGTGAAGGTTAAAGCTGCAAATCTAAAGGGATGTTTGCTTAATGTTCATTGTAAACTGGTCTTTGCACTTTCTTCCTTTATTTTCTTCAGTAATCATTCTACGTGTCTGCTATTTTATGCTAACAGTACTGTGTCATCTGCAGATCTTAAATTTTTGATGTTCCTTCCTTCATTTTTCACACCTTCCTCCGAGTCTCATTCTGTGTTATGTATGATAAGTTCAGCACACAAGTTAAACAGATGCGGTGATAGAAACCCTGACTCCCTTGTCAATTGGAAACCATTTCATTTCTCCATATTCTGTCCTGACAGTAGACTCTTGTCCTCGGTACAGGTTACACCCAATGACAATTACATTTTGTGGCAGACCCATTTCTTTAAAAGCGATTCATAGTTTTTCCTAATCTGCACAATCAATACAAGACTTAAAGCACTTTCTTTTGAAATTATTTGGTGCATTTCATTTTGCAAATTATGTTTGCATATGTGCCTCTTCCTTTCCTAAACCCAGCATGGATATCTGTCATTTCTTGCTACCTGTGTTAGTAAAGCTTTTGCTACAGAAGTTTGACCATCCTTTTGCTAGCATGGGAAATGAATGCAGTGATCATGTAGTATTACAATCCTTTATGTTCCTTACCTGGAGACTGAGATATTGGTTAAGTGTTTCCAATCTGGGGCCATTGTTTTATTCATGTTTGCTGTCACTGTTTTACTATCTAGTGCTAGTTTTCACAGGAACATCTATATAACTCAATTATGAAAACTATGAGTGTTGATCAACTCCTTAAATTGCAACCTCTTCTCTTGATTTCATTTGTTCCTCCAAGGTAGAACTCGCCTGCAATCTACAACTGGATTGCAGGGAGGAGGGAGCAAGTTTGTTTTCTGCTGCCCTGGAGACTAGGACACGGAACAATGGCTTCAAACTACAAGAAAGGAGATTCCATCTGAACATTAGGAAGAACTTCCTGACTGTGAGAGCTGTTCAGCAGTGGAACTCTCTGCCCCAGGGTGTGGTGGAGACTCCTTCTTTGGAGGCTTTTAAATAGAGGCTGGATGGCCATCTGTTGGGGATGCTTTGAATGCAATTTTCCTGGATGCCCCATGATGTCTCTTCCAACTTGATGATTCTATGGATCTCAAGCAAAATTGAATTACAAATCTATCTATATATACAAATAAATTACCAAATTAGATACTCTTTGAGGGTTCAGTGTTCCTCTGGCTTAGTACTCTACATATTTCTATTAGGGCTGGGCGGTTTCGTTTCGTTAATTCGTAATTCGTTAAAAAAATCGTTAATTTTTCAATTACAAAACGATAACGAACCAGTCTGGAGCAATTTTTTAAAAAAACGAATTTTTAAATCGTTTCGTAAATGTTTTGTATTTCGTTATTGTATTCGTTTCGTTATCGTTTTGAGGTCGTTTCGTTATTATTTCCGCATGTCTGGGGCAAGTTTTATAGTTGTTTTTGGTTTTCTAAGGGTTTTTATAGTCGTTTTTGGTTTAATTAAGCTTCAGAAGTTCCCCCTGTCCCATTTGGAGGTTTTTTAGCATATTGCGCGGTCGCGTCCGCCATTAACGAATCGATTCGTTATTGTTTCGGAAATCGATTCGTTAATGTTTTGTAATTTTTTTCACATTTACGAAATTTCGTAAATATCGAACTTTTTAAAAGGAAAATTTTGTAATTATTTTAAATAACGAAACGCAAAAACCCCCAAAAAACAAATCGATTTTAGAAACAAATTTTTCCGTTGTTACCCAGGCCTAATTTCTATACTATTGCTTACATGTGTGTTTGTACATTTTTTTTTCAGATGGCCCTGTCTCGATTGGAATGAGCATGGATATAGCAAGCATCGATACAATCTCAGAAATAAATATGGTATGGCAATGTTTTGATACAGTTTCCTATTTCAGATTATTTTTGAAATTATTCCAGCAGGAAAACCTTCCATTTGTCTCTCAATGTTTTGACTGTTATGACAGAGATCCAAGGCCATAGTTAATGCAACAAGAAACCCACTCAAACAAATTTTATGTATATTTTGTGTCAGGGCATAGAGGGTTAAATTTCTAGCTTTTGTCATAATTTTGACTAGATCATCTGCATACGCTCTCAGCTTATACTGTTCTTTTTTAAACTCTCACCTGATACATTCTATGATCTTATCTAATATCTCTTAGTAGGGCATCCAACGCAAAATAAAAAGCTAAGATGAGAAGGACAGCCTTGTATACTCCCATATTGTGTGTTTCATTGTGTTTTTTAAATATTCTCTTTTCCTAGGATTACACAGCTACTATCTTCTTAAGACAACGATGGACCGACGAGCGCCTTTGTTTCGAGGGTAATAAGAGCTTAAGCTTAGATGGCCGCCTTGTAGAAATGCTTTGGGTACCAGACACCTTTATAGTGGACTCAAAAAAGTCTTTTCTTCATGATATCACTGTTGAAAACCGTCTAATCAGAATATATCCCAATGGAACAGTCCTTTATGCTATACGGTACGTTTATTACTAAGATTTCTCAGATAGCTTCTGTTCGTATTTCTGAGACTGATTTGAATGACTATTGGGCATTTTCATTTAGGTGTCACTCTTTCATCAGATACAAGGGCAATGACTGTTACACTAGTCCAGTGTATCTAGTTCAGGTATTGTTCTGCATTGTTCTTCAGCTATACATGCGAAAATTATTTATTTATTTATTTATTTATTTATTTATTTATTTACCTTACTTATATACCGCTGTTCTCGGCCCGAAGGCGACTCACAGCGGTTCACAGCAATAAGAGACAGCAGAATTCAATGTTACAGTATAAAAACAGTTAACAACTTAACACAGTCATTCTGTCATTCTTTTGCCACAAAGAATATGCCAGATTTCACCTTCTCATTGAAATTAATGAGGGATTCTATGTAATAAGATTTTGTAGAGTGCTTGCAGTTCAAAAAGTGGTAACTTAGGGGGATAAAAATTCCTGATTTGATTGCTACTCATCTCATAATTGGAGCTCTTGTGGGGTTCGACCCTGTCATTTCAGAAGGCTATTATTGGGAGACCTCCTGTGCAACTCAAAGCAATGATACAAAGACAAACAATATGATCAAGAGCAAGTTCACCAGCATTCATGTTGGCTGATCCACCTTTTTTTTCAAGTTCAGGTGTTCACTTTCTGATTTCTAGGTGTATCAGTACTATTTTTAACATTATGAACACAGGCTATACATTTTGGAAAATGGCATTCATAAACTTTTGAGAAAACCAGGACTTTCCATAGGCTTTTGGAAGTGTGACCCTTTTGGAGATTAATTGGCATTCACACTATTTGGAATAATCTTAACCTTTTAGAACAGCATGACCTTGTTAGAGATCATAAACTTTTGTTAAGTACGATCTTCCTGGGAAGACTTAAAAACTCACTTGAGTCAACCTTCACCTTAGTGGTAAACTTCCACTAGTATTCATGCAAGGTAATTATGTTTCTCATTTGTTAGACTGATATGCCTAGATATCTCTTTGAACTGTTAGGAACAAAGATATGCCAGTGTTAAAAGACCTAAGCTTCTCCTGGCATATAGATGGGAAATCAGATATAGACTGATATTTATAGGGTTGGATATTCCCCTGCTCTCTGGTGCCATCCCCACTACCTCTCTTCAGACTGCGTTGGATGAGTTAGGTTTTAATAACTACTTGTATTGGTTTTTAGATTAGATTTTAAAATTTGTTGAAGTTTGAAGTGTATAACCCCTTGGGTTTGATGTGAATGTACGGGACTGGGTACCCATGTTGTGATCTGGTCATCGACCGTAATAGACTTTACTTACTTAGATATGCCAGTGCACAAAGAACAGCAGAGTTTTAGAAGTATTTATTTATTTATTTATTTACTGTATTTGTATACCGCCTTTCTCAGCCTATCGGCGACTCAAGGCGGTGTTCTTTTCAGTGCCCAAAAAAACATCTACTCTCCCATAAAATATATTGTTTTTAAATCATGCTCTCAAGAGACCAAATTTTTTTGTTAAAAGTAAGATAGTTGATTTATTTACAAACTTCATGTATTCAGCATACAGGTAGATTGCTTATCGATCCACTTATAGATAGGTTCAAAGTGGTTTCTCTTTTCAGATAACACAAGGCATCTTTCTTACAAACTTAACAGTCCAGAGTCTAAAGCATCTCTCTGTTCTGAGAGTCTATTGAGTCTGTCTTTCTACAATGGAGTCTGAGATCTGAATAGTCCCAGATCTGGTCACATGGTTTGCAGTCCCTCCCACAACATAGAGTTAAGGAAAACTGCATTTTCACATTTAGTAGACCTCTGTTTTTAATGACTTTAGGAACTGCTGATTGTCATTTTTACATTTTATTGCAGTTACTATTATTTCATTTTATACTACAATATCTGTTTCAAGACCTGAGACCAAAATAAGTGTATGATTCATTCTAACATTCATCTTTATGTGATATTTTAGACATTGTGTTTGTTTCTGATTATTTTGTTTGAATTTACTATAAAATATATATCTTTCAGAAAAGCAGAGTATAAATTAATAGCTTTGCTTTCACAAAATATCAGCTGATCTTTTCCCCTAACCATATGTTTTCTTTTTTTAAAGAAAAGCTCAAATAAGTAGGATAATTTGTTTCTATTTTTGATGTTGAGTATTACGCATAGATGGTAACCATCTGTACTTTGCTTTTAAAGGATAACGACAACAGTTGCCTGTAGTATGGATTTGACTAAATACCCTATGGACAAGCAGACATGCACCTTGCAACTGGAAAGCTGTGAGTGATTTTACTGCTTTAATGGGGCTATATGTGGAGTGCCCTGGTGCTCTTCACAGAGATTGGCCCATCTTTAGGTAGAAAGTGCTGTACTTAATGGTCCCATAGTGGTGGCTTGTAGGTCTCATGTTACTTAGGTGTCAAATGCACTCCAGGTTTAAGTTTGAACTTAAAAGAAATAATCATCAATAAGTTCTTCTCCAAAGTGAAGGGCCAATTGATGGCTTGGTTACTACAACTTACATCTCTGTCTAAATCATGCAGCACTTTCACTACTTGCCCAATTCAGATGTGATTAAATTGACCTCAATCAACCCAACACTCACCATAAATAGGCTCTTTCTCTAAATTCAGTACAAAGTAAACAAGAGACAATTATTACAAAGTGGAATCTGCAAAGGAGATGTTTTCCTCTTGGGCTCTAGGACAGTTAGGGCGTAATAGGGCTCCAGTATTTCATGGAAGGCTAGTGTGGGCTTCAAGCACTTAGCAATGGTCAATCCTGGTTTAGTACTATGAATATGTTGGCTTGGGATTCAGGTTTGTGTTCATTTCTCTCCTCTCCTCCTTCCAGCATGTCATAGTTTTCACCCTTTCCTATTCAAAATGAATTAGAATTTCATGTGTCTGAACTTGGGAATTGTGCTTACAGAGATTTTTAAAAAAATGAAACTATGATTTATCTTTCTCTCATATGTATGGTTTGAAAAGAGATTTCCTGGTTTGTTAAATCATATTTTGCCATGATGACCGGTTAAGAAAGCTGTACAGTAGGCTTGTGCAATCCGGGTAAACTGTGATCTGTTTCGGTGTCCTGAATTTTGGAGGGGGTCCTGATCCATTTTTCGGGAGCCTCCCGAGTTCAGGAGGACAGAAATCTGGTTTTGATCCAAGAAGCCAAAAGATTCTTTTTTTAATCCGGCCCATTGATGGCAATGAGAGGGGGACTTCTTACAGGCTCTCCTTCCTATCATTTTAGTCATCATTTGCCCTTATATCTTTCATTAAGACTTGGATTAAAAGCATCTAAATTAAGATACCACTCTTTTTGTGATCCTTTTCCTTCTGTCTGTAGAGCAGATCGGGTTTAATGCTTTGTTAAAGCTGTTTCTACTCTAGAGACGGGAGCTGCAAGTGCGCTTGCTCTCTCCCTGCAGCAGGCAGTTTTCTAAGGCATTTTAAGGAGACTTCCCACTTCCCAGGGAAGGAAGAGGGATCAACATGGAGGTATCCTGCTCTGTGCTTCCTTTAAAAAGCCGTCTCCTCTCTCTTGATTTTGATGTGCTGGAATGATGCCTTCCCCCGCCCCACATCCTTGCACTTTTCCTTCTAGAGCAGGGGTCCTCAAACTTTTTAAACAGAGGGCCAGGACACAGTCCCTCAAACTGTTGGAGGGCTGGATTATAATTTGGAAAAAAATGAATGAATTCCTATGCACACAGCACATATCTTATTTGTCGTGCAAAAAATACTTTAAAAATACAATAATTAAAATAAAGAACAATTTAAACAAATATAAACTTGTTACAACTGCTCTATCTCTAGGTTGCTATATGCGCTATACACCTCATTGACCAGTCTATCTTTTAACTTATTGCACACCAGCCCCTCCCCCCAATGAGGATTGAAATACTTCTAATTGCTGCTTATGATGTTTGTTTTTCTATTGTTGTTATGTTGTTTTATGTTGTCTTAATATTTTATTTGTGATGTTTTTAACTGTATGTGTTTGGGCTTGGCTCCATGTAAGCTGCCAAATTCCCTTCTAGGAGATGGAGGTGGGGTATAAAAATAAAGTTCTTCTTCTTCTATTAGTATTTCAATGGGAAGTGTGGGCCTGCTTTTGGTTGATGAGATAGGATTGTTGTTGTTGTGTGATTTCAAGTCATTTCAGACTTAGGTTGACCCTGATCGAGCGCCGGGTAAATGACATTGGAGGGCCGTATCTGGCCTCTGGGCCTTAGTTTGAGGACCCCTGTTCTAGAAGCTTCCTCCCTCCTTGCACTCCATATGTAACCGAAAGCAGCTGGTTTTCGACAGCCACTGTTCTGTTGTGAATTGTTTAAAAAATGGCAGCAGAGCCCATGCCGTTACGGGCTTCTGAATCAGCCAACCAAGCCAAAGGCGAACATTCATAATGAATCCGTACACAAGCCTACCATACAGTATTTATATTTCTGGTTTGCAAACCAAGATTAAAGCATAAATTACAGTTTTTGGATAGTCTTCAACCATAACATACAATTTAATACCTCATTTCCGCACCATACTTCAACCTGGTGCAGACAAAAAGGGAAGGAAGGAAGAGGAGTTGAATACTCGAGGTGATCAGTTTGGTGGCGTGGATGCATCATCTCTGACGTGGGCATCTCAATGTCTGAAAAAAAGTAGTAGATAAATAAGATGATCAAATATTTAAAACAGAAAAGCATTTCCATGCTTGGTTGCATATACCATCCCTGGAGCATTTTTCCATAAAGTGAGAAAAAGACACATTAGTGTGTATCTTTTTGGCAAGACATGATGCTCAAAATGTAGCTTTCATCTTCACAGTGTAACAAAATGCCTTTCTTGGCTGCAGTTCGGTGCACAGTCAGATTGCTTAAATCCCATTAATGAATGGGAAGCAAGTGGCAGATTTCTGTGCAGAATTACAGCCTTATTAGTTACCCCATTCTTTGCCCCCCCCCCTTCCATAAGCTTGATTCAATGCTTTTGACTTCTAAATTAGCCTAAAGTTACAGTCATTCAAGTTAGGTCCCTCCTTCTATCAAGTCATGTCCCAGTCTTACACGGCAGTTGACATTTTTCAAGGGTTGTGTTGACATTACAGGCTGATAGTGTTCGAGTGTGCCAGCTTAGTTTCAGCTTCTGCCACCATTCATGCAAGTAAAACTCAATTAAACAATTATTCACAAAGTGAGCCACACATTGGTTTTTGTAGAATCCAGCTTTTCCTTTCACAGAATACACCCTACCTTTGACACAACATTAGTACCCCCATACCCTAGTTAGACTCCTCCAGGGAAGACTAAGCATCTTGGGAAAAGAAAATGATCCTTATTCACCTCCTCTCTATACAGAATAAAAATTGTACACTGACCCAGTTTTATAAACAAAGCCATTTATTAGGAAGTTCACAAATGTTCAGAAATGGCACTAGTTTACTTGAAAAAGAGGTCAGAAAAGGAATATTTCAAGGACTTACATGAAATGGACAATGATTTGCAATGTAATTGATCAAAATTGTGTAATCCTGTCACATTTACTGTTCTGAATTAATAATCCCCCTCCTTCCAAGTCACCTTCTCCATTGTTTAATTTAGCAGTACACATAATTATATGAAATATACTTATTTTTTCACATTAGCTTTCAGAAGCATGATGGTTTGTTGCAGCAAGAAAGAGCCTGATAGTATCTCGAGGACTAATGCATTCATTATAACACAAGCTCTAGGGCACAAGCTCTTGTGATCTTTATTATGGCTTACATATTAATAAAGGTTTAAGCCATAATAAATTTGTTATACATTGCACTGGAAAGTGTGAAATGGGGCAAACATATATTTTCAGAGGCAGAAAGGAACTGTTCCCAGTATGACAGTGGAGATCTCTCTGTGTGTAGAGTTCCTGCCAGTTTGTCCACTGGTGGAAGATGTGCAAATAAGTTATTTCATGGACAAGTGGAGACAAAAAGGCAATTCTATTCTTGCTTCCTTGCTCAGACAATGGACCATAGAGGCAGAAGATGGTCTACTATTTTATTTTGCAGAACCTCATGTCCATATACAAATCGGCTCATGTGTTGCGGTCTGTGGAGGAATCCCTGCTCTTGGTCCCACCCCCATCTCAAGCACGGCTGATGGGGCCTCCTATATGACCGCTCCCAACCTCTGGAACTCCCTCCCATAAAAACGAAAAGCTGCCCTCTCTCTCCTTGCCTTCAAAAAGTTTCTAAAACCCATCTATGCACTCTGGAATACGGAGAGGAGGAAGACTAATACGTCTTGACTTACATCCTCGCCTAGATATGTTCAATCTTGCCCAGATACTGGAATTGACTTCAGCCTATTGGTTGCTAAAATCACCTCATTTCTCTATATGGTTTTAGTTATTAGTTTCTAGATGTATTTACCCAGTGATAAATTTATACTATGTGTTTATGTTTGTATGAGTCATTTAAGTTTTTTTTTATTTTTGGTTATTTTTGTTAGTTATCAAGTTTAAAGTTAGGCTGCCTCTATGTTGTTTGATGTGATCCGTTTTGGTGTAATGTGCTTGTATGTTTTTTCTTTTTTGGCATTGAATGTTTGCTACATATGCTGGAAACTGCCCTGAGTCCCTTTGGGGAGATCGGGTAGTCTACAAATTATTTATTTATTTATTTATCACATTTATATACCGCCTTTCTCAGCCAGAGGCAACTCAAGGCGGTTCATAGTCGGCAGTGATTTGATGCCATCATAAATATCAAAATATAGTTAAAACAATTATAAAAACAATTCAACATTTAAAATGTAATAGAAAAAGCAAATATATCTTTAAAAACAAGATCGTCGCCATCTCCTTACTAAAATCGTCGTCCAGTTGCATTATCAGTCATTTCATTTATTCGTTTACAACTAATTATACTCCAGCAGAAAAAGCTTGCTCAAAGAGCCAGGTCTTAACCATTTTGCTGAATGTTAGAAGGGAGGGAGCTGATCTTATATCTCTGGGGAGGGCGTTCCATAGCCAAGGGGCCACCACTAAGAAGGCACTGTCTCTCGTCCCCACCAAACACATCTGCGAGAAAGATGGGATCGAGAGCAGGGCCTCCCCAGATGATCTTAAAATCCTAGATGGTTCATAAGGAGAGATATGTTCAGATAGGTAAGCCGGACCAGAACTGTTTAGGGCTTTATAGGCCAGCACTTTGAATTGTGCCCGGTAACAGACTGGCAGCTAGTGGAGCTGACACAACAGAGGAGTTGTGTGCTCCCTGAGTACCTCTCCCATTA